AAAGAGCGCAGAAAGGTCAAATCATTTCTGGACGATGCAAGAGCGATCCAAAAGAGCGAAAACTCGGCGGTACACAATAGCGTTCCGGCTCGTCGAGGAGTCTCGTCGCTCTTCGAGGCGCCACAATAGTCCACAAGGGATAGCCCGGGGGAACGCTGATTTCTCCACAATTTCTGTTATTTTGGGCGAGTGTACGACCAGCAGGCTGATTCTCAAAGAGGGACGGCCGGCTGTGAGGAATGGACCATGGAGAGTGGGATGGATCGGATCGTGTGGTGAGAGACGCGCCTGCGAGGCGTGAGTTCGGGTTCCATCTCAGGGTTGCCAGGTGCAACTGTTCCCTTCCTGCTTGTATACCTGCGTTCTACAAAACATCGCTCATTTCTCGTACCGGTCCGTCCATCCGTCTCAGCCTATAGCCTTGACCATTCTGAGAGCCGCAAGGAACTCGATGGTCGTCGCGCGATAATCGCTCAGACGAATGAATAGATTCGTATATGTGCTTTCAACGCTTTTCAATGAACTTCTTATACTTTCGCCAGCTCTAATAAACGTCGGAATTTTTTTATCATTAATATTTATAAGAATTTTCGCCACTATTCAATCCGCCGTTGCGATAATTCACTTCTGGTTCTCGGACAATGGAGAGGATAAGATTGCAAGGTACGCTTAAAGCGCGCAAAAATTTGCATCTCAATGATTTTTTCTCTCGCGCCGATTAATCTGTCAGTACGAGCGAATTTATGAACGCATTGTTTTCTTGGGAGCAAAGTGGCGAATCTCAGCCTTGACCATCTCGAAACGGCGCGGGTAAGATGACGATATATTACCTCATCCGGCGTCTTGCCGTAATTAGCATACTGAGTAGGTAGGTAATTGTATTCGATGTTGCTCTAAATGGTACGGGAACGAACCCGATGCCTGACACAGTCTAGAAACGTAGTTTTGATTAGTGATTACGCTGCCGTGGCAAGGGCTTCCCGCTTTTGTGAAATTTAATGTAGCGTATGGCAAATTGCCTTTCCTCCATGTCTCTCTCTCTCTCTCTCTCTCTCTTTCTTTCTCTCTTCTCTCTCTCCGTAAACTTTGGGTAGCTGTGTGCTTTGTGTCAGCCGAATTATCTTAGAATAGGGGAACGAGCGTCTTTGTAATGGCTTCTAAGGAAGTTATAACAATGAGTAAACGACCTCGTATATATAAAGGAAAATGCTGAATCCTTGAATCTGCTCGTTACTCGCACGTGGACTTTGTTGTGTGTGGACACTTATAACGATAATATTCTACTAAGTGCATTATACTATGTATACCACAGCTTGTGCAGAATATTTCAAGCAACTTTACACGATGCATGAGAAATAATAAAGGGGAAAAACAATAAATAATAATAAATCGTTTAATTATTACATTTATTAATCATTCAATTATAATTACTGTTTAGGAAAATGCCATATCTAATGATTAGAATATTTATGTACTTGTCTAAGGTTGTTATTTATGTGGCTGATTACAAATTATTAATTGCAGTTTCATTGTATAATGAGAACTTTAATCAGTGTTATTAGATATAGTTATGCAAATATTAATTATTAACATAATTCATCCAAACCACGCTATTATTGCGTAAAATCAATGAATAACTTTGATGAATAAATAAGTTTCATTGATTATAGTTTGGGTATCCATTACAATTTTGAATATCGCAGAGTTATTTCGCTCGAATTAAATGACTTTCAAGTATTGTGAGTGAAAAAACTAAAATGTATTATATATTCTTACATTATAAAAATACTGGGATTGAAACAATGTTACGCAGAGAAAAGAGAGAGGCACGGAAGAAATATATTTTACATATAATTATAGACAGAATTTTTTTTTTTTTCGAGTTTTATTATATACGCGAAATATATCTTTTGTGAGAAAACATGTTTGCAAGGAATCTGTTTTCTCGACTAGAATATACTTTTCAAAGGAAGGTATTCGTGAGAATTTGGCGAGTAGCAGCATACGGTGATGAACGCAAAAGCCGGTACAGCGTTATCGACTGTAAAAGGCTCGAACTTGCTACATTTTCATGGCACGGTGATGCAGTTTGAACGATTCTGAAGGGAGATTACCAGCGATAGCATCAGAAAAGTTGCATTTAGACAAAAATAAGCAGACAAATTTGTTTATTTCTTATTAAGCAATTTTTACCAAATAATATAAAGAATATTTTGAAAAAAAGCTTTTGGAAAATTTAGCGTTTTTTCTTTCTTTTCCTTTTGTTTCTATGAAATTATGATCCCTGACTGACTTAAGCGCCTTGTATGATTTTCCTGTAATCTCTTCAACAAACAGCTGCTGGTAAGAAGATTTTGCCTGTGTGTATACCGTCAATTTATTAAATATAATTCTGTATATTTTTATATATATTAATACACGTGGTATTATAAACACGAGTAATTAAAAATATATGGAGCAGCATATCACGCCGATTATTTTCGAGAGATATCACATTTATTATCCGATTTTTAAAAACATACATATTCATTTACACTGTATTAACATATCTATTATTTTATATTATTGTATTAAATTTCATTTTTTGATCAGTATTTCAAAATAATCGTCTACGAAAAATACAATTGTTACCATTAAATATTTCCCTAGATTTAAAAAACGTTATCAAATAACTGTCAACTAAGATCTATTTTTTAAATAATCTGTTGTTACTTTACATCACACTTGCGACTTGTTCCTTTTTATTCAGGAAAGACGTTACGTGTGCCCATTTTGTAAAAACTTTGATCGATATATGATGACCGTGCACGTAACATTTTGTCCATCGAGCAATCTCGTTTTAAACATGCATTTTCTAAGCAAACTTTGAAAACGACTCATCCGTCAACCCCGATATCTATCCGTGCTCTACTTATTCCCCGTGTCATGTTGGTACCCTTTGGTACACCGAAACTATGCCGTCCCTGGGATCTCGACCGCCGAGGCTAATCCCCCTTGGCGGACTTGGACCATGCTCCAGCATCGTTCGCGACGGTCGCGATGGAATCAACGCACACCCTTGCGCGCGCGCGCGCGCGCTTACCCTTGAGAGAGAAGGCGAGAATAAGAGCGAGGGAGAGAGGATGAAAAGGAGAGAAAGAGAGAGAGAGAGAGGAGCTAAGCAGAGTGAGCTCGCGATACGCGGCAACGGCCGTGAGCCACGGGGGTTCGCAAGGGGGTGGTTGGAGATGAGAGAGACGAAACATACGGCACGCGACGGTTATAAGAAAGAGACAGGGTAGGTTCTCCGGTACAAGGTGGTGGGCACAATATTGATCTGTGGGGTGGGCTTCGGGGATGCTGTCCTCCGGCTCTCTCCTCCGCCCCCGGGCCGCCTGTCTCACCCGCCTTCTCGCATCCCCTCGAGCCCCGCGATGTCTCCCCCCTCGCGCCATCGCACCCTCGAGTCTACTCCCCCGGTGCTCGCGATGTAGTGGGGGTCACGCTGGTTGCGTGCTGGTCCAGTCCGCAGCCTCCAACGAAATGGTGGTGGGAACCGGGGGCGGCCACGGGAGGTAGGGACAGCGGGGGACGGTGGCTGCTCCGGTGATGGAGGTGGCGGAGGAGGATTATGCCCCATCTCGTGGGGAACGCTCCTCGCGCTTATATCGCGGCGGTAGCTGCGAGTCGCGAGAGCTCGACCGGTAGCTCGTACACGACCCCGACCGCTTCCTTTTTCAGGGGTTTCGGTTTCCGGTTCGGGCACCCGTTCGCAGGGACAAGAGGCGGTTCTCTCCATCCCCGCGTGTCCAATCCCCCTCTCTCTCTCTCTCTTTCTCTCTCTCTCTCTTTCTCTCTCTCTTTCTCTCTCTGTCTGTTTCTCTTTCTTTCTCTCTTTATCACCCCTTATCTTTTGCCACCTCTTTCTCTCCATTCCTATTTCTCTGATCTTCCGTCGTTTCCCTCTTGCCAGCCCTTGTCTCAGTCTAGCGCGAGTTGCCACGTTCGGGCGGACTTCGCGGCATACATCCTGTGCGTGCGGCCTGTACGGAAAGCTACGCGTCTCTTCGTCATCTTCGTCATCGTGTTCGTTGCCACAATCGTCTTGATCGTCGTTCGGATTATTCGTATATGTATTTCGCTCGTGTCGAAGCCGATGCGCGCGATGCGAGATAGAACCGTGTATACAAGAGAAACGACTTCACCAAAGGACAAAAGCAATTACGGATAAAAGAAGCGGCACATAGAGCAACGCGAGGACGGAGACGGATGGGATTGCGGAGAGAAAGAAGAGATAGCTGCAACAGGACAGGAAGGGCAACGATGATGAACGCGGATACACGAGAATGCACGTTTGCGCGAACGCGTGATCCCTGTTGAGAGAAAAAAAAAAAAAAAGAAACGAGTGCGACGAGAGGGTGCGAAAAGAGAGCAGTCCATCCCCGCGTGTCCAATCCCCCTCTCTCTCTCTCTCTTTCTCTCTCTCTCTTTCTCTCTCTCTTTCTCTCTCTGTCTGTTTCTCTTTCTTTCTCTCTTTATCACCCCTTATCTTTTGCCACCTCTTTCTCTCCATTCCTATTTCTCTGATCTTCCGTCGTTTCCCTCTTGCCAGCCCTTGTCTCAGTCTAGCGCGAGTTGCCACGTTCGGGCGGACTTCGCGGCATACATCCTGTGCGTGCGGCCTGTACGGAAAGCTACGCGTCTCTTCGTCATCTTCGTCATCGTGTTCGTTGCCACAATCGTCTTGATCGTCGTTCGGATTATTCGTATATGTATTTCGCTCGTGTCGAAGCCGATGCGCGCGATGCGAGATAGAACCGTGTATACAAGAGAAACGACTTCACCAAAGGACAAAAGCAATTACGGATAAAAGAAGCGGCACATAGAGCAACGCGAGGACGGAGACGGATGGGATTGCGGAGAGAAAGAAGAGATAGCTGCAACAGGACAGGAAGGGCAACGATGATGAACGCGGATACACGAGAATGCACGTTTGCGCGAACGCTATAAAAAAAAAAAAAAAAAAAAAAAAAAAAAGAAACGAGTGCGACGAGAGGGTGCGAAAAGAGAGCAGTTAACGGGAAAAGAAGAAGAGAAAAAGACGCGCGACAGTGGTGAATTCGTTGCCTACGTGAAACGGGCTGCTGGCAGAGGGAGCAGTAACGCTCCGCAAAGTTGCCTAGATACCGGGCAACACCGTGTTGCGCTCCGGTGAAGTAGGAGGCAGCGAAGGAGGCGGAGGTGGCGGTGCTGCTCCGCGGGAGGATGGAACGCGCGGTGGACTGTAGTGAGACGAGGAAGACGATCGCCGGCCAGGCCGCGAACGCAGGTCCGTGGTGCTGCCAAGAGTCACGATAGCACACCCGCGTCCCTCTCGAAGCCACGAGAGTGAAAGAAAGAGAGCACACGTAGGTCTTAAATCGCGGCAGCGTGCTCGCGGTTCGAGAAGCCAATCGCGTAAAGTATCGCGGCGTCGTTTGCGGTGCTACAGTTAGAACCATCGTTCCGTCGAACGTTCGCCGACATTGCCGGATACGACGAATAGTTGTAACCCTCACACATCGCACAGGCATTCGGAGTATCGCGACATTGTTCGCGGATGTGGACTCTTTTTCTGCGAATTTTTCTATCGGGAGAAATCTTTTTTACGAACTCGCGCGCGCGAGTATATCCAGCGTATCGTTCGTGCCTCTATGTTGTTTCGCTCTCGCGGCCGGAAATTCCGATCGAATCGTCGAGGTGGGTGTGAGCGAGTAATAAAGTGAGCCCCGGTGCCGGTCGAGAACGGGGTGAGAGTACTCGTAACGATGGACGCCGCCGCGTGGGGGAGAGCAGGAGGATTCGGTGTAGCGAGGGCGCGTAGTTGCCACGGACACCTGTAAACGGCACGAGCCCTCGCAATTTTCCTTCGAGACGAGATCTTTTTTGAGACGATAGAATCGGCGACGCACGCACGCCGAATGCACGCCAAAAGGCAAGCTTGTGAAGTACGCGTACGCGTAATTGACGAACGATACCGCGTGAAAAAATATCGGATATAGTCATAGGTACGTTCGTATCGACTGCGTCGCAGCGTCAAAACTCCGCAGACGCATTTCCCGTGAGATTAAAACTCGCGCCATTGTTGCTTCTTCGTGGCGCGCGAGACAATAGAAAAAATTGCTACCTATGTCGATATAGGCAGAAACCGCGGTAATGGCGTGCCATTTAATGCACACTCCTCCGTGAATCCGATAAATAGGTCATCGTAATGCTGGACTCGTGATCAATGGCTGGTTGGTTGGTTGGAAAGGGTTGCAGCTAATTAAATCGCATATTTTCCTTATAAAGTACGGAACATTTCTATTTGATATAATTCGGTGCACGTAAAGGTAAATGCGCGAAAACAAGAGCACATTCTCCTGTACTGTATTTTTAAAAAGCACAACACAGTGATAAGATTATCAATTTTTACTTTTTCCTAATTATTTTCTTTTCTTAAGACGAATATTTTGTTACGTATTTAATAGGATTTAATAATATATTTAATACTTTCCGTTATGTAAAATTTTAGATTATATAAGAATAATTTTACAAATTCTCTTTAAAATCAATATGTGTGATATTAAATATAATTATGTTCTTCTCAATTCTCTCGTGTAATAATATTAATTATTGCAACCTATTTCGAGTTTAATTCGCAGAGATCGATTTATGAGTCTGCATATATGCGACTTTTTCAATTATATTAATAATTTATTCGGTCTCACCAAGAGGATGGAAAATTTATGATAACGGGGCTTGGCGAAACCGATCGTGCTCATTGTTAGTCGTGGCACGTTTTCCCAAAGAGAATACAAGAAATCTTTTCTTGCTGATAGAGAAATAGTAAATCAACCTCCCAGCTTGCAAATCAGCCAATTCTTCGATACTCGCATAACGACTGTAACCATTATGTACACCGGCAAAAATATCGCGATAAATGACAGTATTATTCAAATTAGTGTCTTATATCACTATTTCATGAAGAACAGTCTCTACCTAAATTTGTGTAGTATAGATTTTGTGCACAATTTTTAATTTGAATTTATAGTTTAAAAATGTTGTCAAAGTTATTTTACTGAAATTTCGATTTATAAGCTTTGGAAAAATTTTTTGAATGCTTATATATAAGCTAAAATTATCAGATTATGATTAATCAAAAATCTCATTTGATTTCTCTTAGATAATTATAACAAGTTTCAGAATCTCTGACAAAATAATCTAAAAATATCATATCTTCGATTATTTCTCATATAAAGTTCCAGTGGTAATGTAAACTCGAGGAATGATATTTTAGATATATATAGATGTATATAGAAAAATTTTGTTGCGACAAAGAAAGCCGCGAATCTTTAGCTTGAAATAAACTATATAAATCTTAAAAATTATGCACAATTCTATAGATAAAGGGATTGAAAGCAATCTCGTCGAATTCACACGAGATAGTGCGAACGCATGCCGCGAAACGACGCCGCGCGCGATAGGAAACAGGGGCGCGAAGAGGTTGTTCACATACACACCTATACACACGCACACATACACACAAACAAACGCACGCACATATACATACACGCGAAATCATTATTTTCAGGATCCCTCGCGAGAATGCTCGAAACGCTGAGGAGCATCGTCGCGCGAACGTAGCGCGTTTTCTCTACGAACGATAAAACGCCGCCACCTTTCAACGATCGAGACCTCGCGAATACGCACAACCGAGAAGCGCGGAAGAACGCTTGGTTATGACGGCCAAGTCGGGAGGTGCGTTAGCGAGGGCATCGAGTATCGATTAGCAGATGATTCGCGCGGAATTGAACTCGACTCGCGAGATCTGCACGATGATGATAATCAGTGACGCAGCGGACGACAAAGCGCTCCCGGGCGATATTAGAGCGTAGTGACCGCTGCATGTAGAAGTGAACACGCAAAATTGTGCAGTGCATTACGGTCACGACGGGGCACGTCGGGACCGAGTGAAAGAACATCGGCGAGTCGGTGTCGAGCCTCGACTTGGGCCTGCAAAATTCATCTGCCATGGCGCACCAGACAAGAGATCTACCGCAGTTGCGAATAAAGTTTTATAATACGGTCGCCGCCGGTCTCCAAATAGTCCTCTTGCTCACCGTCCTACCTCAAGGTAAGTTTGCCGGGACACGAATTTCCGATATTTTACGATGACATTGTGTTTACGCGACATTACTCGTTATGATTTTCTTTATCGCTTTTCCGTCGTTTCAAGGATGAAAAGGCATGAATAATATTTTTGCAAATAGTTTTTTTGTGAGGATACTGACGAATAAAACTCCTGATAATTCAAATTACATGCAAAGAACGTTCCACACATCTATCAGTTAGCAGATTTATTATATTGAATAATATGGGCTTCATTTATAAATACTGCAATATCAAATATGCAAAGTGCATCTACTTGTCTAAACTTTTTTTTTATAATCTGAAGTTCCTTGTTCGAAATGCTATAATACGCATTTACTTTTACGTAATGAAGTGCAAAATTGTAGAAAGCGCTCGATATATCTATAATATACTTGATCGTTGATGTACTTTAAATGGAACTAGTTTAATAGTGATTAGCTTCAAAATTTGATGTAATCTTATATTTAATTTTGACTTGTTGAGTCGAATGTCTCAATTTGACTAATATAACAATGATTGTTTTTTGGTAAAAAAATTGAGGCCAAAGCTTAATTAGAAAATATGTTTCATTTTTTGATGCTTTTGTTGTCTATATATATTAGTTTATATAATTTCATAATCTATTTAATCTGTACGAAGAAAGCAATTATCGTTATTATATCGTTATTAAAATTTTTAAATATTAGTAATATACACATTGTGTGAAATAAAAATGAATATAAATACGATATATTCTCATCTATTAGTATTTAAAGATCAAAGTCGACTTTTGCATGTCGCGACTTCTATTCAGCTGTGTCATTTCATCGGGCTATTCTCTTTTTCTCTCTGTCCTCTCTGATATAGAAATTCCGAAAATAACTTTAGACGAGTACATAATTTAATGAACGACGCTCCCACGATTATATTCCAACGTCATCTTTGCTACAGACATTTCTAAACGATCAGCACGTTAAATGCGGTAGAAAATCATCAATATCGTTCACATCGATAAAATTAGTCGCGCACGTGTCAAATATAATAACCATAAAAAATTATTTTCGAGATAATAGCAATAATGGCCGGTAATTGCCATCATATGCTAACTTAGATATGTAGCTTTAGATGCTTGTAAAATAACAACTGCATTCCATGCTTTGTTCGCTATACCTGCACGCGTTTATGTACATATGGAAGATATATGCTCGCCTTTATATAATTTACGCGTGACTGATTACGCTAAAAGTGCCACCGCGTACGTGTATAATAAATCGGTTCGTCAATCATAATTACGGGCGACGCGTTCGGCAACAGTGCAACGTATAATAGAATCACCACAACTGCGGTATACTGGGTGCGACCTGCCATCACGATGCATCGGCGCTCGACCGCGACAAAACTGCATTTCGTTCAGTCAACGAAGTTTTGCAGCCATGCGCGGTACGACTCGGTCGGAATTAAATCGCACGATTTGAGGAACTCGCTCGGAAAAAAATCGACGTGTGTGTCGCGGACAGCGAAGTTTCGACGTGGCCGATGTTGGCTTCACCTCAGATTTTACGACACGTTAATCTCCGCGGTAACAGATTTAGACTATTGGGAATTGAACTTGTCGCGCTTTTCGAGAAAGTTGACGAGATTTTTTCGTCGTGCTATAAAACTCAGAGCTAAAATTGTGAAGTAAAAATCAAATAATATGGCAAAAGATATTTGAGAATTCAGTATCTCTCTCTCTCTCTAATTAACTCCAGATTTGAATATTTTTCGAAAGTGCTTTTTTTATGGTTTTGAAATATTTATATATGCGCACAAATTATTTTGTATGATAGTCAAAGGAAAAGGAAAACAAAAAGAGAGATATATATCTACGTATATATTTCAATGAAGCAATATACTTTTTAATATCAAAAATTTTTAACATTGGAATTTCTTTTCTGATTCCAATCTGTGATCAACGTACACCTCAAACGAACACGGTTAGGAGGTTTAACGTGACTTTACTTGGATGGGAAAATATGCAGAATATAATAAACATTCTAGCGCGAAATATCATGCGACGATTGAACTTGTGTGATCGTTTGGCAGCAACAGTAAAGTTAAATCGTTGGATTTAAACTTGAAATTTATTGGTTCGTTGAGACGGAGTCGAAACATTAATAACCCTTCGCCATCATCGCTCATGTGGTAAAGATCGCCCGGCAAAGCGATAAAATCTTTCCGGTATAGACGATCCGAAGCATTAAGCGCTTCGACAAATTTTTACGGGAGATATGTGTACACCTTCTCGATCATTATTCTCTGACAATATATCCAACGTATAAAATATTTTATCACCAAGTAACGCTATCAATTGGATGTCATAACTTCCTTGCATCCACATCAAGCGAAAATAGAACTATGATACTATTGTAATGTGTAATGCGTAATGTAACTAACTCGTAATTCTACATCTCGCCTATTTTTATCAGCGATCCTCATTTTTATCAAATAATCAAGAAATGTCATCCGCATTATCTTTTCGTTATCAATTTACTGCGATCCGTACTGATCGATTCACTCACCCTGGTTGCATGATGTCAGTCGTAAATCAATCAGAGTGCGGTAAGTAGAGAACGATGGGCAGCCTCTCCTTTCCTTCTCCGCTCTCCGCTATATATCCCGATATAATTTCGATCGAGAATCTGTTAGCTTTAGCCTGATGCTAATGTAAAATTCATTTCGTCGTGTTTTTGGTACCCGGTGAATCCGTTCCGCGGCCGGCGACGTATCTATTTTCGACGGTGTAGCTCACACATTTCTTCGTGAGTCTGAGATTACACAGCCCGCGGTAATAAGTCATTCGATTTATCGCCGGTCTTGCGCAAGATATCTTCTCGGAGGGGTTAGATTTCAGAAAAGGCTTCTAGATTTCTCCCTTAACCTCGCATCCCTTACCGATCGCCGACCGATCGTGAGTTATTTTCGGACGAACGGGAAAAAGCCTCCCTGCGAAACTGCCGCGGGCACTGCGTATTTTTCTACGTTACGCTTTACGGCGGCCGATGGCTGTTTCTCAATTACTAGGATACTGGCAAGGGGCTCTCCGAGAATTTTTCCAAGAGAGATTGCTCTTCAAAACCACGCACCATGTTCTGTTTTAACGAGTAACGCATCACTTATACGTATACGATTTCTTTCCCGCTCTTTAACATCGCAATTAAACTTTTAACAAGATTTTTTAAACGCGAGGGTTTTAAATCTTTGAATGAATAAACAAATGTTAATTGCTGCTTTGTGATTTATAGATTTTAATTTGGAATTTTTATATTACATAACATGATTATCGATTTGTGTCACACACACATTTGAACTTATTTATGATCGAAAAATATAGTTTTATCGTGCTGCATTGAATACACTGTGCTTTTATGCCACGTGCCAAACACATCTGGCTTTGAAGATTAATAAAGCATTAACATCACTTAATGTTCGATCGATACTAAAGTCGAACTGTTAATTTTAATAGCGATCGACTGTCAGACTAAGTCAGTGAAGCATTTGTCAATGAGATGATGCACATGAATTGTTCAAATGTGAATTGTCATGTAGATATTAATGCTAAAAATATAGTAAAATATAAATATTTTCATGACCAGGGTAACATAATGTAGATTGTTGAGTTAAATGAGAAAGAAAACTAAATCGATTAATTTATTAAGTTTCATATAGAACAAAATATTTTCCTAGTCAATATTATATTTATTAATGTCGCACGATTTATATAAATTTCTTCATAATTATTCTTCGCGACCATCTGGGATACACAGTATATCTATCCTTGTAAAATATTTTCTCGACAACAGTTAATAAATCATTGTCGATGAAATAGCTTCGAGTCTTCCGCGTTCACTCACACAAAATATCCCCTAGCTTCGCGTAGTAATCGGTTTCGAAGTTTCAACGAAGTAATCTGCGATCGATGCCCCAGAAAGCATCGCGGACGGAAAAACGTCGGACAGGGCGGAAGTCAGTCTATGTTAAAATTTCAGAATGTTTCGCCGTGGATTACGTTTGCAACGTGTTCGCTTAACGCGTCGGCTCGGCGTTTTACTGTCACCGGTTGAGCACCACGGCTGTCGGATATCGAGATTTTTACATTGCGCGTATTGCGCCGCAACGGAGCGGAGACGCCGCCTATAACGTTGATATCGATTCTCGAACTTGCAACCGCGCCATTTCTCGTACGCGCGAGCGTACACAAGTATTAATCGAAGGAAACATTTTCGCTGTGAGATCTGTCTTCTATTTGGAATTTATATTTATTGGATTCGAAATCGCGCTCTTTATACGTGCACGAGCAAAATCAGGCGTGGCGGTGACAGGGCTGTTGAAATTACATTACAGTCGATAACAAAACTGCATTGATTCCGCAACAAAATTTAATTTGGTTCGCGAGATTTTCGCGTATATCGCGATATTGGCCTATCTGATAATTACAATCCAACTATTGTGTTTTATCATGGTTGTAATTCAGGACTCAACAAGGTGCGCACGTTTTGCGCTGTATAAATTACTAGTGCCCTCATTATATGGGTCGAATAAAAAATTGTGATTTTACTGAATGACGACCGATCGTAAAAGCTTGACAAGTCGTTGCGATTTAACATGGAGATAAAAATCGTAGGATTAAAAATCGAGGATTATTGTTTGCGCACAATATCATTCGAGTGAATAAGGATTTGTCAAAAATATTTTACAGATGAGTATTGTTACTGTAATTGGGAAAACCGTGACGTAGGAAGTATTATTGATAAAATCAGATTTTTTTTTTTTTTTTTTTAATTTTATTTAATGCATAAATATAGATATATATCATTCACAAGAGCTTATCATAAAATTTTTATAAACTGTGTAAAAACAACAATGTAAATAAGTGAAATATTATAGTGTGTGTTAATCTATTTTGTATTCTTTTATATACGTTATATCGCTTTACTTCTGAAAAATTGATAATATATGGAACTA